TCACTGAAGTGTTGTGAATCCAGGTTTTAACTATGTTTTTCTGACCTTATTGTCTGTCTCCTGTTGCTGGGCAGGAATCAGAATGCTGGCTACTGATTGGCTGAGTTTGTGACCAGCTCTTGAATAGCCACTTAAATTCTTGAGCTTTTTGAGCAGGCAGATTGTAGGCTAAGACATTGCAGCTTTTGGTAATACTTCTCTTTGTTGTTTCATAGCTATAATCTCTTTGCTAGAAAGAAGAGTGTGAAGGGAGTGGGTGGAGGGGGATGAAGCAGAATAGAAAATAATGGTTTCACTTAAAGAAGAAGAGGCTCATTGGGCTTTACTTAAAAATAATTAACACAAATTTCAAAAAAAAATTCCAAGCCATAGAGACTTATTTGCAGGTAACACATCCTTCTTGGTTATTTAAATATAAATTCCTTAAGTAAAGGTGAAATCCTTGTTAATGCTGTAGAAAAAGATTCTTTTTTTTTATAGTGATAGTATTTCCCTAGAGTTCTTGAATCTGAATATATAGAGTAAGGACCTAAAAGCACTTTTTTCTTACTGTCTTTCTCATGAAAAAATGTTTTCAGGAGAAAGTAGTTCATCACGTTTTACACATTTACTTCTAGGTATGGCAGACATTTTCTGCTGTAAAATATAAATGCTTTTTCCTGTGAAAATAAATTACAGTCTTGTGAGAGCTTCATGATTCTAGTGTTGCCACCTAAAAAAGTAGTATTTCTTTTGTCAAATAGTTTTGTGAATGGCGTCTCAGTTCCAGATGATAGTATTTAAAATGATCTTTAGAAATGTTTTGTTCCGGTACTACAGTCATGGAGACTTGTTTTCAGGTAAACACACCCTTCTCTAATGTGTATCTTTCTTAAATATACATTGCTCATGCAAAATAGATTTTTAAAAACTTAACTGCTGATTGGTTTGCATAGATATGGCTGAACTAGTTTGAACTGGTTGTTCATGCTACGGTTGTTCATGCTACTTCCTTATTGCTTTGTCTGTTATTCATTATACTTAGAACCCATAAAAAATCTTGTAAATGGCTGTAGTGTGCACCCTTGTGGGTATAGGTGGTAGTTATTCTGTAATTCTTTGTATAGGTAGTCCTTTAGTGTACTAAAGGAATTGAATGGCAGTTTTGTTGATAAAACCAGCTTGCTTCGATAACATTTATTTTTATTAAATGTTACTTGGTGGTGGCTATTAACATTGAACGTGATGTTTGCGTGTTGGATTTTCTAATTCATATACAAAAAATCCCAGAAGTATTTAAGAGAAATTTGTTTCGGATTCTCTAGTTTATGCCTAAAGCCATTGTGAATATACATAGACAATTATGATAATAACATTTATTGAGTGCTTACTACCTTCTAGGTGCTTAATGTATAGAATCTCATTTAATCATTATTACAACCTCTATGTCAGGTACTGATATTCCCTTTTTAAGGTGGCTGAAACTAAACATTGAAAGGCTAGGTAACTTGCCGTCTGTCACATAGTATATCGGAGAGCTAGAATTCAAATCCATGTTTCTGTTTGCAGAGTTCATGTTCTTAATGGGATTACTAAAAATTATGAAAATATACTTTTTTTTAAAAAAGAGGAGTGTTTGCTTTTACTGCAACTGGCAATAACGGCCACTTCTGCATAATGGTTGAGAAATGTGGCTGTTATGAGGTCAAAGTCCCAAAGAATTGCAGTTCAGTATTTGAAAATATTTAAAGGGTAACCATACTCCTTGTACTGTAAATTTAATCCTTTTGTATGTTTGGAGTCAGCAAGGAAAAGTGACTAAAAAATTTGCATTGTATCTTTGCAGAAAATTTTTCAGTTAGTGTGAGTTTCAAATGGATGGTAGATGGGAAAAATTTTGAAGTTTAAATTTTAGCTGCAGTTAATAACCCTTAAAATAGTGCCTATGATAATTTTGCGTTGACGTTTCTTCTCAATTTTAAGGTAATTTCTGTAAATTGTTTCACTCATCTCCATAATTTAAATTAAAAACCTAGAAAGACCAAGAAACATAAGTAATTGGCTTAAAGTAAGAGAATGAATGCAGATTTTATACCACAGTCTAGAAGTACTGTGACAAAATAGTTGGTTCTCAGGCTTTATTGGCCTCCAGCAAATAGGCTGGGCCATAGTTTTATGCCTTTCAGCTAGAGGAACAGTGGAACACCAAGAACACACCTGTAATTGAACAAGTTGGGTTTATTGTTGCAGTGAGAGAGAATGTTCACCATGGGGAAACAGCGAGGCATATCAGTAGGAGGATGTTAGAAAAAAACCTGGTAAAAGATTCAGTTATAGTATAGTTGGGGTTTTGGGGGTGGGGGTTGAGGCAGTAGAGCCTTACTCTGTATTAGGTGCTATCAGAAAGCAGGGGCAATTCTATGCTTGTGTATCTCAGCAACTGTTATCTATAGGGAGGACAAACTACAGCGAGGATAAAGCTGCAATTGATAAAAAAGTGTAGCTATCACTTAGTCAGAGAGGGAGATGTTTAGTATTTTACGGGATGCTGGGTTGCACAGTGACCTTGTCTAATTTGAATGGTGAAGTCGTTTTATGTCCAACATGATTTAGCTATAAGCATCACATCAGTTTATAACAACAGTGAGCTTTGAGCCTTAGATAAGTTCCCAGACTTCCGGGGCTGCTTTTTTCCCTTCTCCAACCAAAGCAAGTATATCCTAACATCATTCCTACTGGTAATGGTGATGTTAAGTGAATATCCAATGTAAAATTAATATTCTTGATTCTGTATATCTAAGTCCTTAAAGGACGTTTGTTTTATTCCACTATAGACTGGCAACATTGTCTTTCTCTAGGACCAAGTCTTTTGTTTGCCTTACTGCACTGACCAGATGTTAACACAGAAACAATGATAGAGAATATCCTTATCTTAGTTCTGATCTTATTTTACCATTAAGTATGATATCTGCAGTTTTCTTTGTAGATAATCTTTATTAGATTTGAGTTGTTTCCTTCTGTTAGATTTCTGAGAGTTTAACTATGAGTCAGTGTTGAATTTTGTCAAATGAATGAATATTATGTGTCTGTTGAGATGATCTGTTGTTTATTTTCATCCTATATTCTGTTTTTATGGTAAATCACACTGCTTGAAAAAAATGTTTTTTCTTAAATAACAGAAATGTATTGTCTTACATTTCTGCAAGTTAGAAGTCTGAAATCAAGGTGTTGACAGGGCCATGCCCCCACTGAGGAAGCTAAGGAAGGGTCTGTTCCACACCTCTCTCCCAGCTGTGGCTTGTGGCTAACTCCATTTTTCACACAGCGTTCTCCCGTGTGTGTGTGTGTGTGTGTGTGTGTGTGTGTGTGTGTGTCCAGATTTTCCCCTTTTTATAAGGCCACTGATCATACAGAATTAGGGCCCACCCTAAAGACCTTATTTTAACTTGATTATCTCTGCAAAGACCCTATTCAAATAAGGTCACAATTTGAGGAATTAGTGCTTAGGGCTCTAATGTATTTTTATCAAGTGGACATCTTGGTTGGGCCTATAATAAAGCTATAATGCTTCGTGTCTCACTCGTAAATCTACATTGCTTAATTTTTTAATATGAAATTGACCTTGTATTTTTTTTAATGAGCTTCACATGGTCATAGTGTATTACCTTTTAAAGAAACATACTTTTAAGTAACTCACAGATGAAAGAAGAAATTACAATGGAAATTAGAAAATATTTTAGTAGAACAACAATGAAAAATATGACACATTAAAATGTAAGATGCAGCTAAAACAGCACTTAGAGGGAAATTTATAGCTTTACATGGATACACTTACAAAAAAAGGGAAAGATTAAAAATTAATGATTAATGTTTAGCATGTTGAGGACCTACCAGACTGTTTTCCCAAAGCAGTTGCACCATTTTACAATCCCATTGCCATTGTAGGAGAGTTTCAATTTGCCCACATTCTTGCCAACATTCATTATTTTCTTTGATATAGCCATCCTGGTGTGTGTGAGCTGTTGTCTCATTTCGGTTTTGATTTACATTTCTCTGGTGACTAAATGATGTTAAGCATCTTTTCATGTTTCTTGCTTATTGGCTATTTGTGTATCTTTTAGAGAAATGTCTGTTCAAGTCCTTTGCCCATTTTAAAATTGGTTTTTTTGTTGTTACTTTTCAACTGCAACAATATTTTATATTCTATATTTTCCAGATGCAAGTGTCTTATCAGATACATTATTTGCAAATGTATGATTTGTAAATACAGTTGACCCTTGAAAAATGTGGGGGTTAAGGGGGGCCGACCTTCCGCACAGTTGAAAATCCTCGTATAACTTTATAGTTGTCCCTTCGCATCCACAGATTAAACCAACTGTGGTTCAGGTAGTACTGTAGTATGTATTTATTGAAAAAATTCCAAGTTTAAGAGGACCCATGAAGTTCAAACCTCTGTTGTTCAAGGGTTGACTGTATTTCCTTCTATTGTGTCTTTTCACTTTCTTGATAGTAACCTCTTATTAATGTGTTTACAGTTGTTAATTTAGATATTCCTGGTTGCAAATGTAATCTTTCCTTATGTTCCTTAATTCTCCCTTCTTTTTTTCCCCTTATCGCTATACCTCTCTCCCATTCCCCTACTGCTTTCATTCTCTTATAATTTTATCTTTCCTTTGACAGCTACTTTTTTACTTCATGTATTTTTTTTAATGCTATCTCCTCCGGACTCTGTGAATCCATTAGCTTACTGAGAATGAAAACTAGAAATTAGTCACTTTTTTCCTAATACTGCCTAGTAATTGATCTCCTGTGAACTGTATCTGCTATCAATTTTATATTATATAAATTCAATAAATGTGAAAATTAACACACACAGCAAGGATCATTATGCTTTCTATATGTAATTATTTCAAAATTACATAAAGGGCTGCTTGCTTATAAGATCAGTTTGCAGTAAGTCTGTAATTAGGTGGCTTCGGTTTCAATTGTTAAACTCTGTCTTTCTCTTTCTCTTTTTAAAGATTCAAAATGGATAGTATAGAAGAACCTCAGAAAAAAGTCTTTAAGGCTCGAAAAACAATGCGAGTGAGTGATCGTCAACAACTTGAAGCAGTGTACAAGGTCAAAGAAGAACTGTTGAAAACTGATGTCAAGCTGTTAAATGGCAACCATGAAAATGGAGACTTGGACCCAACCTCGCCTTTGGAAAGTATGGATTATATTAGTGACAAGGACGAGGTGAATGGCATTGAAGAGCTTTGTTTTGACTCCGAAAAAAGTAAATCAGAATGGAAAGAAACACCCTCTACCTTAAACGTTAATGTAAAAAACAAGCAGGATGATGATTTAAAGTGTGAACCTGTGTCTTCTAATAATATAACTCCTGAACTAGCCTCTAAACTGACTGCTGAACCATCTTCCGCTGATACAGCCTCTGGTGCACTAGCTGCTAGAGGTCTGGTATCTGGAGATTCTGCCTCTGGAGACTTGGCCTCTGAAGCAGTAACGTCTGGTGATCCCACCTCTGGTGATCCTGCTTCTGTTGATCCTGTCTCTGGTGATCTTGTCTCTGGTGAACTGGTCTCCAGTGAACTGGTCTCCAGTGAACCGGTCTCCAGTGAGCCAGTCTCTGATGAACTGGTCTCCAATGAACCAGTCCCTGTTGAACCAGTCCCTGGTGAATCGGTCTCCACTGAACTGGTCTCCAGTGATTCAGCATCTGATGATCCAGCCTCTGGTGATCATGCTTTTGAATCACTGGCCTCTGATGATCCAGGCTCTGGTGATCTGGCTTCTGGTGATCCAACTTCTGGTGATTCGGCCTCTGGTGATCCAGCCTCCGATGAACCAGTTTCTGATGAACCAACTTCTGAGTCAGTCTTTGATCCCACCTTTGAACCAAATTCTATACCAGTCTGTGAACCAGTTCCTGAAACTGATAGCACAGAGCCTAGTAGCAATAAAGGTGATGATTTTCTTGAAAAAAATGGAGGTGATGAAAAGTTAGATCAAATTTTCCCATTTGATGAGAAAAATAAAGCTGATAGTAATGTTGATGTTGATGCAGAAGCTCTAGAAACAGATGATACAATTATTTGTTCAGATGTGTCTCCTGAAAAGAAGATAGAAGAAGATGCTATCACAGAATCTGCTCTTGGAGAGGAAGCTATATCTAGCAGTATTGAGATTGACCAAAGTGAAAAGACTGAAGAAGAAAATTCTGCAGACCTTGCAGAAACCATTAGTGAAAATGTTATGAAAGATGACAAAAATGAGAATGTCTTAGAAAATACAGATTCTATGGAGACAGATGAAATCATTCCTATTTTGGAAAAGCTTGCACCTGCTGAAGATGAACTTACTTGCTTTTCTAAAGCTTCTCTCCTTCCAATTGATGAGACAAATCCAGATTTGGAAGAAAAGATGGAAGGTTCTTTTGGTTCACCATCTAAACAAGAAAGTAGTGAGAGTTTGCCAAAAGAAGCCTTTTTGGTCCTCTCTGATGAAGAGGATATTTCGGGTGAAAAGGATGAGTCTGAAGTTGTATCACAAAATGAGACATGCTCTCCAGGTTAGCATATTATTTAAATTCTAAAGATTTTGATTAGCTTTGATAAACTGCTTAGTAAAACATTCTCTTAAAGTTTAAATTTCTTTTAGTTACAGAAAAAGTGGAGAATGATGGTGACTAGAATGATCTCTTAACTTCACAGCTTCTTAACTTCACAGAATTTAGAATTACAGAGAACCACTCTGAGAGCAGCATTGTGTGAAGTGCTGAGAAGGGAGATAAAATAAGTAGAAAATTTTGCACTTGCCCGTAAGGGACTTATAGACTGGGAATAGAGATAAGATGGACCAGTTTAACACCATGATATAACAATTTCCAGTACATAATTGATCAAAATTCTAGCAATTGTTCATGCTATCACTTAGCAACCAAATAACTTTGAATCTAAAAGCCTACTAGTTTATTTGCTTCAAGTGTAACAAATTCCATTTTACAATTAATTTTCCAGTTGAAATCTGATTCTTTTAATATTCTTTGTCCAGGGAATAGCACCACCATTGCTGGAAGCCAAAAACCTAGAGGTCTAATTATATGTTTGATAAAGACTTTATCCATTTGCTTCCTAAGCCTTCTTGATTCTACCTAACGTACTCCCCTCATTTTCTGAATGATCTCTCAATAACTTAAATCTCTTTTATTTGATTGTGTTCCTCTCTTTCATTAGATCACTATTATTGGGTTGGCCAAAAAGTTAGTTTGGTTAGTGAATACACTGTTCAATAAAATTCTTGGTGAAAATGAATATTTGTCCTTTATTTTTAGTTAGAATTGAACAAACTTTTTGGCCAACCCAATACTTTTAGGGTAATTTCAAACTCCTTATATAAAAGCTATATAAACTTCATGATTTGGTCAATGCCTGTCTTTTCCATATCTTTTATTATTACTAGAGAAAAAAGAGCGAATGAGAAAAATCCTACTTTGCTTTCATGGTCAAACTCAAACATGTGTGAAACTTGTTTGAAACTTTGTGAAACTTTCTCAGTTACTTTCAGACTGGTGTGAATACCTTTATGTTCCCATCGTGTCACATTCTCTTAGCCTTAGAGCCCTGTGAGTGGAGTGACCTTGTAATAAGAAAAACAACATCTGGTTTTTAGTTTGTTCAAAGAAAAAAAAAGCCTAGAAGACACAGAGGATTCCCTCCCACCCACCCCCACCCCCAATATGTCATACCTACTTTTGGAGATAGAAACGTTTTCTTATTAAAAAATGACTTCACTTCCAAAGAGCATTCATTCATTTATTAAACCTGTATATATAGAAAGGCCAAGCTTTTCTTGGCTTGGGGATTTAAAGATAAAGTTCATTACTTGCCCTGAGGATTCTGACAAGAATTAAATTGCAAGCCATTAAATACATGGTTGTGAATACAGTAGTAATGTTAAACTGGTATGCTGGGAGTGTAGAGGAGAGTAACTTTGAGAATATAGATGTATTCAGGGAAGCACTTTCCTTTCACTCTCCGTGTAACATAGGGTTTTAAGGAAGATAATCCCTCTTAATTGCAGCTCCATACTACTTGCTCAGGCCAAAAATCTTGGAGCCATTCTTATTTTTTTCATTCATAGTCCATATCCAATCTGTCAGGAAATCCTGTTGGTGCTACTTTCAGAACAGATCTAGAATGCAGTCTCTTCATACCATCTTCACTGCTATCACCCCTGCTTTGAGCCATCATAATCAGGCCAAAAAAATGCTTGGGTCACAGTTAGTGCTCAGTAAATGTTTGTAGAATTAATTAATTGGTAATAGAAGAGTGTTATGGAGGACCTTGCTTACAATGCTAAAACATACTAACACCGGGGAGCCATTGAATGATTTCAAGCAGAGAAGAATGACACGATGAAATTTACATTTTGGAAAGATAATAAATAACAATGTTTAAGGAGAACTTCACTCATTTTTCAGTAAGAATATAGAGAGTAATATTGGGGTAAGTCCTTAAAAAAATCTTTTGGTAGTGTGTATAAGAAAGTCATGGCAAATTGAAGCTTAATTATTTAATGAGTTTATACATTTTACCTTTATGTCAGAATCTTGGAGATTGGAGACCATCCCTCCCACCCAGTGGTTAAATGCAGAAAGATGAATATTAAACCATCCCCATTGTATACTTTGAAAATTCAGAGTTCGGTTTATTTTTGGTTACTTTTAGACTTTTATTTGATTGTATGCTGTTAGAGTAGGTTTAGTGATAGATTTAATTTCTTAGCTGGTAACTGAACTTTTATTTTCTGTCCCCTGACCCAAAGGAGATTTTGTGTTTTGTAAGTTGAAGTATGGTTTCTTCATTGGTTCTTAAACGGTTCTCTGTTCTGTTTATATGGTAGTAGAATCTGTTACATGTCATATTTGCTGTTGTTCATCTGTTGAGGTATTACTTTCTTCAGATTCTTTATTCTTGAATAATTTTTAATGTTTTCAGAACACAGGATTATAAGTCTGGCTTTTCCCTCTAAGTACTAACATTTATGTGCTGTACTAGTAGGAAAACATAAACCTCTATTATTTCAGACACTTTAGCAAATTTGTTTTAAATATAGCAGTTATGGATATGAGCAGCAGCAAAAAATAATGAAAGGTATCTGAAAACAAATGGAAAAGCGATTTCAGGTTTACAGAGACAGATGAAAGACCTAAAAAACGATTGCAGATATTCCTTAGTAGGCCTGAGGATGCTGTCATATTGTTGCTTAATACTGTATAATACCTGATACTCATTAAATGTTTACAATCATAGTCTGTTTAAGAAGTCTAGGAAAATAAAAGTTTCTCTTTGGGAACATTCAAACAACACCAGAGGAGGTACACGTATTAGTTACCTTCCATGTATTCTCCATACCATATACTCTCCTCTACTACTGTTCCATCTTTCCTCTCTTTCAGTGCCATTCTTCAAGTTATGTTAACAAAGCTAGCACAGTTTCATCTTCTCCTGTTTACTCTTTAACTTAATTGAATTGTGATTTCCACGTTCCCAGCCTCTTTCCTAATTGTTCTCAGTGGAGTGACATTGATGCTCATGTTGTTAAATCCAGGGGCATCCTTTATTTGTCTTTATTCTCTCATATTTAGATGACCTCTTAATAACAATTCCTCCCTATTGAGATTCTCCTTAGCTTTCAGTCTACTGCATTCTCTATTTTCTTCCCTTTTGGCCCTTCTCATTTTGTTTCTTATGTAGAAATGAGAGGGAGAGCTCTTTTCTACTCGGCTTTTTAAATTTTTTAAACATTGTTTTTTCCTAATATTTTTGAGGAGAAAAATCTGTTTCAAAGTAAATAAGATTTTACCCTAAGCTCTGACATAATTTCCTTCCAAATATTATTTCAGATTTTAAAAATATCTGGTTGTTTTTCCCTTTCATTGGATCCTTAAGATAAATTAGATGAACGTAAATGCTAATGAGGATAATTGCATGGGAATAGAATTTAAGGTTTCTAATTTTGCTTTAGGTTAATAGTGGTAGAATTGCCATGGTTTACATAATTAAAATTTATTGATATTTTGTTTTCACTATTTAATGTGTTCAGCTAAAATTCTTTATTATCTCAGCCCATTTATATTCAACTGTGTCTTACGTACTTGGATTTTCTTTATGGAATCTTGTATTCCTGTACATTGTTGTAGAAGTTGCAGATTTTTCTTTTCAGAGTTGAGTGAGATCAAAGATGAAGCAAGTTTTGGAAAGGGGAGTGTGGGAGGAAGATCAGTTTCAAATGACGATTGTTGCCTGAGTTAGATATATGTCTGGATTTTAGAGCAGAGGCTTGGACTGTCTAGAAAAAATTAGGGGTAGATACCATATAGACATTAGTCGAAGTTGAGTGACGAGGTGAAATCACCTCAGAGTGAGTATAATTCAGTGAGAGGAGATCCGAGAACTGAGGTCTTTGGCAGTCCTGTATTTAGAGGTTGAAGATATGAGGAAGAACCAGCAAAGGAGACCAAGAAAAAACTTCAGCTAGAAAGAAAATTAGGAGATTTTGTTGTCTTAGAAGTCAAGTAAAGAATGTTTTGAGGAGGAAGGAGTAACTCTATTTGTGTATCAAATGCAGGTGTTTGTTCAGTTAAGATGGAAGAGAAATATTTAATGACCTGGAGATCATTTATGACCTTGACAGGGGGCAGTGCAGTTGAAAGCCTAGTTGATAATTGAGTTTCAGAGAGAAGGGGAGGAGAAGAATTGGAGATAATAAAATGTAACTTACCCCCCAAATTTTGCTTTAAAAGGGAGCACAGAAACTTACTGTGGAAGATACTATTTAGAGGTTTGTATTAGTTAAATAAAGCTTTTAAAAATTTTCTGGAAAAGTCACATTGCCAGTAATGCCCCATTTTTCTGATTCCTCTTGTGAGGCTGAGAATCTTACATTTGTATTCCTTATCTATAAATTGCTTCTTCCTCTTCTTTGCCCATTTTTTCTGATGGATATATTGTCTTCAGTTAGTCTGTAGGAATTTTTTGTTTTAAGTATTCTCGTAGAGCCATTAATCTAAGACAGGGGATTGGCAAACTGTGACCTATAGGCCTTAACTGTTTTTGGTCAATAAAGGTTTGTTGGAACATAGCCACATCTATTTGTTTACATATTACATATTGTTTATCATCAATTCCCACCATAAGGACAGAATTGAGTAGTGTGTCAGAGACCATAGAGCCTACAAGATCGAAAATACTTCGTTTTGGCCATTTACAGAAAATGTTTGCCAACCCATGATCCAGGGCAACGGTTTTGTCTGTATTTTCTTGGAATAAAGTTCTATGTAATTCTGAAAATGGGAAACCAACCCCTAATGTAAATTCTGTCTTCTAATCCTCTACAATACAGTTTTTCCACCTTCATTTAATGAATTTTATTAAAGATAACAGTCATTAGAAAGATATTAAATATCTACTTTGTCTCAGCTCTTCCCCAAAGTGTTTAGGGTTACCAAAATTACAAGGTTTGGTACCTGCTCTTAAGGAGCTTACTGTCTAGTCTGGTTGAAAGGAAAGAATACCACAGATAGAACTGTTTGTGAATGTATGCCAACATATGAGGCTATATTCAAGATGGGAGGAATTATAGCAGAAACTGAATGAAGACAGATTCTAAAAAAGACAGTCTTAACCCAAGTATTTGGATGAGTTTTAGGAGTCCCAGAAACTACTTGAAATTATATATATATATAAACACCGTGTACCTGAGCCTCTGATTATTATTCTGAGTTGATGGAGGTTCACTTAGATTCTCTACAGGCTCTGTGAACAACAACAACAAAAAAAATTAAAGAAATATAGGGCCTTACTCCCTTCTGTAGACTCTGTTAGTACCATTTTTTTAAATCCCAACTTCTTTATTATATAAAACTCGAGGCTAAATTTTAATTCTGTTTGTCTATTTCAAACTCCTAATAAGTGTTTTAAGTATTAAGAATCCAGTCATATCTTCTAAACATACCTGGAAAACGGGAATTTGATGATAAGAGGAGTTGTTTGAATAAAATGAAGGAATTGGGAGCTAAGCTTGACATGTCTGTGGGCGGAGAGGGATCTAACATATGCATAAAAGAGGCAGACCAAACCAGGCCAGTTTGCTTTGCTGTTTTCTGATCTGGCTTGAAGTAACCCTGATTGGAGCCAGGGCTAATTTTGTTCTTTGGGTGGAAGGGTGGTTTGCTAAATAAAGACTAAGTAAACCTTCATCTTAAGCAACCCAATTTCTCTGTGTTTCTGGAAACTAGGAAACTATAGGAGTCACCATCCTCAGTATTAAAGGCAGGAAAACTTGGAAAAGTATATATAGGAAAAAATGCTATGTAATGAGTGTGCAGTCTACAGGGGAGCAAAACAAACTTTCATTTCATTGAACTGGTGTTGAGGGATGAGATCTTAAAAAAATTTCTTAATGAGCATAGGGTGGTAAATGGAAAGTTAATTTTTTAATATTCATTTATGTTAAAGTTTAAAAATAGTCTCAGTAATCTCCATATGTACTGTGTAAACGTCCTTTTGTATTACTGTGTTCACGTTTTACAGCTTTATTGTTTATCTTAATGTGAAAAACATTGTAACAGGTTCATCAATGATCCTAGTCTCTGCCTATTTTCACCTAAAAATTCTTTTAAGTTTTTTTAACCTTGGCTTCTACCATCAGGGCTGTTGAAATTAAAACCCTGGTGTTTGGAGCAGAGATGCCATATCAAAATCTTTATATAGTTCTATATACCCATGATTGTTTATTTAATTGTGGTTGTAGAATATGATGAAATACGGCATGCTTTATTGAAGCTGCAGGGGAGCCACTTGCAGGGATGTAAGGGGGAAAAATAGAAACCCAAACATGTTAGTGACTTGTTCTTCTCCCCTAAATGATTAAGTTAGTTGAGGAGCTATAGATTGATTGACCAAAGACCATTTATGGTGCCTCTGGGATTTTATTTGTTGTAACAATGCAACTGTATGGCTATTTTTAGCAATATTTTTTGGTAGCACTCTTTAGTTGTTAGATTTTATGTGCCTTTTGTGAAAATTACTTAACATTTCTGAACGTTACTTTCCTTATCTATATATATGATGGCAAAAATACTGTTTATAGTGTAGGATTTTTTGGGGGATAAGTTAGTTGTTGGCACTGGTATCAAAGTAGCTATTACTTTTAAGTAAAACTTTTATTATCTTTAGGATAGCTTTTCCCTATCCATAACCGTTAAAATAACCTAATGATTCAACCTGTCTGGTCAAAATATTAGGTGTTCTGAGTTCACCAGTAATTTATAATTTTTTTTTGTAATTGCCACAACCACTGTTTTAGTTTTAACAATTGAATGTAAAGGAGTCTGAATGCTTTATAGTAGTTGTTTTCACATTTTATTAATCTATTGATGACAGTAAATTACTAAGATTCTTTGTCTTAAAATCTATATTATTTAATTTTTTTCCATGTTAAGAGTTTATTATGAACTTGCAGAAACATTTAAAACTAGACTTGTCCACTTATTTCCACCAGTTCATGCTCCCTTTTTATTCCCAATATTTTACATTTTGAGACTCTGATTTCCTAAAATATTATCAACTGGATAATTACACCAAAAGTATAAATTATAATGAACTGTTACAAATTCTGATGGAAGAAAATTTCCTTTTCTATTTTTGTTACAGAAGAAGTAGAAAGTAATGAAAAGGGCAGCAAACCTGAGGAAGAAGAGCAAGTGATACATGAAGATGAAAGACCTGAGAAAAGTAAGCATGTACAAACAAACCTGAAATAGTTTTAAAAATTGTTTCTGCTTTTAAGGCTGTGGAAAATACTTTTCTGTCCATGAGATGCTTGTAAAATTTTTCAGTTTAAGTAAGCCACAGTTAAATCGTTTTGTTGATGGCTAACCCAAGGATCTTTGAAAGTATTAATTATTTCATGTATTTTATTGTTTATTTATTCTTTCCATTGCTCCATAGAAAGATTTAAGCTTACTATTTAGTAAGATGCTATCTGAATATCTTGAGAGAAATTGTTTTAGATTTGCTTTTAGAGCATTGGACCATAGGAATTTTGTCTGGGATGATATAAGCAAATGGAAGTATGTGTCTCAATCTCTACTTAAAGTTCTTAAGCTGTAAAGAGAAGGGGAAATGATGTTACTGAATGTCATTAGGTTGGGTTCTGTAACTCTCCCTGTCATACTGCTCTCCATCTGTGACTATGTAAGTTATTATTTTTTAAAACTTTCAATACTACTACTACTTAATAATAATAAAAGCAACTGTGTTGATAATACTTTATGTACCAGACACAGTTCTAAATTTTTTCCATCTTCTTTTTTTTTAACTTTTTATTTTAATTTGGAGTATTTATTAACAATGTCATGGTAGTTTCAGGTGTACAGCAAAGTGATTCAGTTATACATATACATGTATCAATTCTTTTTCAAATTTTTTTCCCATTTAGATTGTTACATAATATTGAGCAGAGTTCCCTGTGTTATACAGTAGGTCCTTGTTGGCTATCCATTTTAATTATAGCAGTGTGTACATGTCAATCCCACACTCCCTAACTATCCCTTCCCTTCACGCTTCCCCCACCCCCTGGTAACAATAAGTTCATTCTCTAAGAATGTGAGCCTGTTTCTGTTTTGTAAATAAGTTCATTTGTGTCATTTCTTTTTAGATTATGTATGTAAGTGATATCGTATGATATTTCTCTTTCTCTGTTGTGACTTACTTCACTCAGTATGACCATCTCTAGGTCCACCCATGTTGCTGCAAATGGCGTTATTTCATTCTTTTTAATGGCTGAGTAATATTCCATTGTATATATGTACTGCAGCTTAATTATCCATTCCTCTGTCGATAGAAATTTAGGTGGCTTCCATGTCCTGGCTATTGTAAACAGTGCTGCAATGAACATTGGGGTACATGTATCCTTTTGGACTATGTTTTTCTCCAGATATATGCCCAGGAGTGGGATTGAAGGATCATATGGTGGCCCTAGTTTTAGTTTTCTAATGAAACTCCATACTGTTCTCCATAGTGGCTGTACCAATTTACATTCCCACGAACAGTGTAGCAGGGTTCCCTTCTCTGCACACCCTCTCCAGCATTTGTTGTTTGTGGATTTTTTTGGTGATAGCCATTTTGACTGGTGTGAGGTGATATCTTATTGTAGTTTTGATTTACATTTCTCTAATAATTAGCAGTGTTGAACATCTTTTCATGTGCTTCTTGGCCATCTGTATGTCTTCTTTGGAGAAATGTCTATTTAGGTCTCCTGCCCATTTTTTGATTGGGTTGTTTGTTTTGATGATATTAAGCCACATGAGCTGTTTGTATATTTTGGAGACTAATCCCTTGTCAGTCACATCATTTGCAAATATTTTCTCTCCTTCTATGGGTTGTCTTTTCATTGTGTTTATGGTTTCCTTTGCTGTGCAAAAGCTTTTGAGTTTAATTAGTCCCATTTGTTTATTTTTGGTTTTATTTCCATTACTCTGGGAGACAGATTGAAAAAGATATTGCTATGATTTACGTCAGAGTGTTCTGCCTATGTTCTCCTCTAGGAGTTTTATAGTGTTTGGTCTCACGTTTAGGTCTTTAATCCATTTTGAGCTTATTTTTGTGTATGGTGTTAAAGAATGTTCTAATTTCATATTTTTACATGCAGCTGTACAGTTTTCCTAGCACTTGACTATCTTTCCTCCGTTGTATAGTCTTACCTCCTTTGTCATAGATTAATTGACCATAGGTGTGTGGGTTTATTTCTGGGCTTTCTATTCTGTTCCATTGATCTATGTTTCTGTTTTTGTGCCAGTACCATACTGTTTTGATTGCTATAGCTTTGTAGTGTAGTCTGAAGTCAGGGAGCCTGATTCCTCCAGCTCTGTTTTTCTTTGTCAAGATTGCTTTGGCTATTGGGGTCTTTTGTGTCTCCATACAAAGTTTAAGATTTTTTTGTTCTAGTTCTGTGAAAAATGTCATTGGTAATTTGATAGGGATTGCACTGAATCTCTAGATTGCCTTGGGTACTATAGTCATTTTGACAGTATTGACTCTTCGAATCCAAGAACACGGTATATCTTCCCATCTGTTTGTGTCGTCTTCGATTTCTTTCATCAGCGTCTTACGGTTTTTGGAGTACAGATCTTTTGTCTCCTTAGATAGGTTTATTCCTAGGTATTTTATTCTTTTTGATGTGATGGTAAATGGGATTGTTTCTTGAATTTCTCTTTCTGTCTTTTGTTGTTAGTGTATAGAAATGCAACAGATTTCTGTGTATTACTTTTGGAAACTGCAACTTTACCAAATTCATTGATGAGTTCTAACAGTTTTCTGGTAGCATCTTTGGGATTTTCTATGTATAGTGTCATCTGCAAACGGTGGCAGTTTAACTTCTTTTCCAATTTGGATTCCTTTTATTTCTTTTTCTTCTCTGATTGCTGCGGCTAGGACTTCCAAAACTATGTTGAATAAAAGTGGTGAGAGTGGACATCCTTGTCTTGTTCCTAATCTTAGAAGAAATACTTTTAGCTTTTCACCGTTGGGTAAGATGTTAGCTGTAGGTTTGTCGTATATGGCCTTCATTATGTTGAGGTATATTCCCTGTATGCCCACTTTCTGGAGAGTTGTTTTTTTTTTTTTTTTTTTTGCAGTACGCGGGCCTCTCACCCCTGTGGCCTCTCCCGCTGCGGAGCGCAGGCCCAGCAGCCACGGCCCACGGGCCCAGCCGCTCCGTGGCATATGGGATCCTCCCAGACCGGGGCACGAACCTGTATCCCCTGCATCGGCAGGCAGACTCCCAACCACTGCTCCACCAGGGAAGCCCTGGAGAGTTTTTATCATAAATGGGTGTTGAATTTTGTCAAAAGCTTTTTCTGCATCTATTGAGATGATCATATGGCTTTTATTCTTCAGTTTGTTGATGTGGTGTATCACACTGATTGATTTGCGGATATTGAAAAATCCTTGCATCCTTGGATAAACCCCACTTGATCATGGTTTATGGTCCTTTTAATGTATTGTTGGATTCTGATTGCTAGTATTTGGTTTAGGATGTTTGCATCTATATTCATCAGTGATATTGACCTGTAATTTTCTTTTCTTGTGGTATCTTTGTCTGGTTTTGGTATCAGGGTGATGGTGGCCTCATAGTATGAGTTTGGGAGTTCTCTTTCCTCTGCAATTTTTTGGAACATTTTCAGAAGGGTAGCAGTTAGCTCTTCTCTAAATGTTTGATGGAATTTGCCTGTGAAGCCATCAGTTCCTGGACTTTGGTTTGTTGGGAGTTTTTAAATCACAGTTTCAGTTTCAGTGCTTGTGATTGGTCTGTCCGTATTTTCTGTTTCTTCCTGGTTCAGTCTTGGGAGACTGTATCTTTCTAAGAATTTGTGCATTTCTTCCAGGTTGTCCATTTTATTGGCATACAGTTGCTTGTAGTAGTCTCTTATGATCCTTTGTATTCCTGTGGTGTCAGTTGTAACTTCTCCTTTTTCATTTCTAATTTTATTAATTTGAGTGATCTCTCTTTTTTCTTAATGAGTCTGGCTAAAGGTTTATCAATTTTGTTTATCTTTTCAAAGAACCAGCTTTTAGTTTCATTTATCTTTGCTTGTCTCTATATTTCTGCTCTGATCGTTATGATTTCTTTTCTTCTACTAACTTTAGGTTTTGTTTGTTCTTTGGTTGCTTTAGGTGTAGGGTTAGGTTGTTTATTTGAGATTTTTCTTGTTTCCTGAGGTAAGATTATATTTCTGTAAACTTCCCTCTTAGAAATGCCTTTGCCATATTGCAAACAGAGCCATTGTGCTTTCATTTTCACTTGTCTCTAGGTACTTCTTGATTTCCTCTCTGATTACTTCAGTGATCCAGTGGTTGTTCAGTAGCATATTGTTTAGCCTCCACATGCTTGTGTTTTTTACAGTTTTTTTCTTGTAGTTTATTTCTAATCTCATAGCATTGTCATCAGAAAAGATGCTTGATATGATTTCAATTTTCTTAAATTTACTGAGGCTCCCTTTGTGGCCCAGCATGTGGTCAATCCTGGAGAATGTTCCATGTGCACTTGAGAATGTGTATTCTGCTGCTTTGGGATGGAAAACTCTATAAAATCAGTTAAGTCCATCTGGTCTAATGTGCCTTTTAAGGCCTGTGTTTCCTTATTGATTTTCTGCCTGGATGATCTGTCCATTGATGAAACTGAGGTGTTAAAATTCCCCAGTATTATTGTGCTACTGTTGATTTCTCCCTTTATAGCTGTTAGTATTTGCCTTATATGTTGAGGTGCTCCTATGTTGGGTGCATATATATGTACAATTGGTATGTCTTCTTAGATTGATCCCTTGATCATTATGTAGTGTCCTTCTTTGTCTCTTATAGCAGTCTTTGTTTTAAAGTTTGTTTTGTCTGAAATTAGTATTGCTACTCCAGCTTTCTTTCGATTTCCATTTGCATGGAATGCCTTCTTCCATCCTCTTACTTTCAGTCTGTATGTGTCACTAGGTCTGAAGTGGGTCTCTTGTAGACAGCATATATATGGGTCTTATTTTTGTATCCATTCAGCCAATCTGTGTCTTTTGGTGGGAGCATTTAGTCCATTTACATTTAAGGTAATTATCGATATGTATGTTCCTATTCCCACTCTCTTAATTGTTTTGGGTTCGTTATTGTAGGTCTTTTCCTTCTCTTGTGTTTCTTGCCTAGAGAAGTTCCTTTAGCATTTGTTGTAAAGCTGGTTTGGTGGTGCTGAACTCTCTCAGCTTTTGCTTGTCTGTAAAGGTTTTAATTTCTCCATCAAATCTGAGTGAGATCCTTGCTGGGTAGAGTATTCTTGATTGTAGATTCTTCCCTTTCATCACTTTAAATATATCGTGTCACTCACTTCTGGCCTGCAGAGTTTCTGCTGTGAAATCAGCTGATAACCTTATGGGAGTTCCCTTGTATGTTACTTATTGTTTTTCCCTTGTTACTTTTATATTTTTCCTTTGTCTTTAATTTTTTCCAATTCGATTACTATGTGTCTTGGTGTGTTCCTCTTTGGGTTTATCCTGCCTTGGACTCTCTGTGCTTCTTGGACTTGGGTGACTGTTTACCATGTTAGGGGAAGTTTTCAATTATAATCTCTTCATATATTTTCTCAGGTCCTTTCTGTCTCTCTTCTCCTCCTGGAATCCCTATAATGAGAATGTTGGTGCATTTAATGTTGTCCTAGAGGTCTCTTAGATTGTCTTCATTTCTCTTTATTCTTTTTTCTTTATTATGTTCCACGGCAGTGATTTCCACCATTCTGTCTTCCAGGTTACTTATCTGTTCTTCTGCCTTAGTTATTCTGCTTTGATTCCTTCTAGTGTATTTTTCATTTCAGTTATTGTATTGTTCATCTCTGTTTCTTCTTTAGTTCTTATAGGTCTCTGTTAAACATTTCTTGCATCTTCTCAATCTTTGCCTCCATTCTCTTCCTGAAGTCCTTGATCATCTTCACTATCATTATTCTGAATTCTTTTTCCAGAAGGTTGCCTATCTCCACTTCAGTTAGTTGTTTTTCTGGGGTTTTATCTTGTTCCTTCATCTGGGACATAATCCTCTGCCGTTTCATTTTGTCTACCTCTCTGTGATTGTGGTTTTCATTCCACAGGCTGCAGGACTGTAGTTCTTCTTGCTTCTGCTGTCTGCCTTCTGGTAGATGAGGCTATCTAAGAGGCTTGTGCAGGCTTCCTGATGGGAGGGGCTGGTGGTGGGTAGGGCTGGGTTGTGTCTCTCTGGTGGGCAGAGTTCAGTAAAACTTTAATCTGCTTGTCTGCTGATGGGTGGGGCTGTGTTCCTTTCCTTTTCGTTGTTTGGCCTGAGGTGACCCAGCACTCGAGCCTACAGGCAGTTTGGTGGGGCTAATGGTGCCTCTGGGAGGGCTCATGCCAATGAGTGCTTCCCAAAACTGCTGTTGCCAGTGTCTTTGTCCCTGCAGTGAGCCACTGCCACTCCCCACCTCTGCAGGAGACCCTCCAGTGCTAGCAGGCAGGTCTGGCCCAGTCTCCTGTGGGATCACTGCTCTTTTCTCTTGGGTCCTGATGTGCACAAGACCCTAAGAGTGCAGTTTCTGGTTCTCCCAGTCCTGTGGAGGTCCTGCAATTAAATCCTGCTGGCCCTCAAAGCCAGACCCTCTGGGGCCTCCTCTTCCCGTTGCCAGACCCCCAGGTTGGGAAGCTTGACATGGGGCTCAGAACTTTCACTCCAGTGGGAGAACTGTGGTATGATTGTTCTTCAGTGTGTGGGTCACCCACCTGGTGGGTATGGGACTTGATTCTATCACGATTGTGCCCCTCCTATTGTCTCGCCATGGCTTCCCCTTTGTCTTTGGATGTAGGGTATCTTTTTTTGGTAGGTTCAAGTGTTTCTTTGTCAATGGTTGCTCTGCAGTTGTGATTCCAGTGTTCTTGTAAGAAGGGATGAGCGTACCTACTTCTACTCTGCCATCTTGACCTTATCTCTCTGTGACTATGTAAGTTTTGATACAAGGGAAATTGTAGAATAGAATTGGATTTTAATAATAGGCTCATAGATAGTGTGGAGATTTTAATATTTTAATATTTCCCTGTTTCTATATTGAAAAAGAAACCATATAAAATATGTTATGATCTCATGAGTGTTACCAATATTTGAAACAAATTTTCTAAGTGAAGGTCTTTGAATGTTTGTTCTTTACCAAATTTACCTTTATAATGACATTAATTTTATTATTTTTATATATTTGAAATTTATTAGGATATGTTAAGAATAACTAATACTATTTTCCTAAGGCTGGTGATTAAGAAAGAATTTTTCCTAAACTTACTGAGGAAGAAAATTTACTGAGGATGAAGAATTAAATAATTAAAGCTATGCACAGTTAGTAGAAGCATGTGATGTGAGAATAAATACTGAGAAATCTGTGACTTGTGAATGAATACTGTATTTTGTCAGAGAATTCATATACACTAGAGAATTTACTGAAAGGAATGAATTTGAGATGATTTCTTCTCATCCCATATTGTTAGTTGAGCTTCCATCTTAATACGAAGATTTCAAGGAAAAAATGTTCTTTGTTCATGTTGTTTGTACATTTACTTATTTAGTGTTCGGAGGTTCTTATTTAGCATATTGAAAATCATTTCAAGTTTAAGGTAAAAGCTATCTATTTACTTTTCTGATCACAAAAACAATTCATAAAATAATTTATTGAGAGTGCTATTTTGATAGCTAGAAATAATATCTTCCTGAGGATGGAAAGAGGCATTAAGGTCTACGTATGATAAAAACAGCTGACTGGTCATTATGCTTTTTCTTCTCAGGTGAATTTTTTAGAAGAAAACGTTCTAAGTCAGAGGACATGGACAATGTACAGTCCAAACGACGTCGATATATGGAAGAAGAATATGAGGCAGAGTTTCAAGTAAAGATTACAGCCAAAGGAGATATAAACCAGAAGCTACAAAAGGTGTTAGAGATTATAAGTTAAAACCATATTAAACAAAAAACACCACCATCTTTATTCTATTAGATTTTTGACATTACTCTGTATTTTACTGAAATATTCAGCTTTTTCATAGAAAGAAAGAACTTGAAGAAATTGGTTAAGCTTATTACCCTTAATAATTTAATTATAAAATTCCTTATGACTCTTTTGAAGCTAAATAGTTTTTTTGTTTTGTTTTGTCTTTTTAGATATGGTAGTAATTTTAAAAATGGGAGAGAAATTATGGCTTCTTTTCTTTTCTTTTCTTTTCTTTTTTTGTGGTACGCAGGCCTCCCACTGCTGTGGCCTCTTCCGTTGCGGAGCACAGGCTCCGGACGCACAGGCTCAGCGACCATGGCTCACGGGCCCAGCTGCTTTGCGGCATGTGGGATCTTCCCGGAGCGGGTCACGAACCCGTGTCCCCTGCATCGGCAGGCGGACTCTCAACCACTGCGCCACCAGGGAAGCCCATGGCTTCTTTTCTTATTTGCTTTAGTAACAAAACTGAATACCAGTTTTCAGCTTTTATTTTTTCTTCTATATTGAACTTTATTCTAATTGGAAACATTAGAGTCTTAGTGTTAACATTTTAGTTTTTGTAAGTTTTGTCATAAGCTGGTTTCATGGCTATAAGTCCCTATGTTCTAAAATCTTTGTTATGTACCTTAGGCTTAGTATTAAAAATGGTATGGACAAGGCTTTCGAATGACTAGGGAAAGGGAATAAAGTACAGACTTTGGAAACTTCCCCCTATATGTGTTAGACTAGAGATAGAAATAATGAAAATATAAAGTATTTAATATATGTTTTAAGATGTGTTCACAAATATTGATGACAAATGCCTTTTTAAGAGAAGAATAGAAGACTCAGGTGAAAATTTTTCAAGCTCTTATAGATTTAATGGTGAAATTATAAATACTCTAGGCCAGTGTTCCTCTACTCAGATAAAGTATAAATATCCCCATTAGAGAAAGGAACAGAGAGGCAGTACAAAAGTGGCTTTTTTTTCCTCCCAGTGTCTTTTTTCTTTTAACCATATGGTGATAATAATGCTTGTTTAGTCTTTCTTATAGAGCTATTAGAAATATGAAGATAGCTATGAGAAAGCATTTTGAAATATACTTCTGTGTGTACTGAGGGTTTACTCCTCTAGAGCAGTGTAATTTGGGGATGGTCTGTGGGCTGCACTGTATGTCCTGTTTGTTATGGGTCCATAATGAGATAAATATGGAAATTGTGAGCAGGCATTTAGAAATGTTTTATAGGAATTTCATAGTGCAGTGACATTCTTAGTGTCTCTCAAAAATATCATCTGTAACAGATTAGAAAATTTAAAATCTGCTCCTTACCTTCAACTGGTTTCTTTTAAATCACAGTAGAGGGTGTGGGAAGAAAATATTAAAACTTCAATTTCAAAATGTTTTAAAAATTTCACCCTCTGGAAATTTTCTATTTTTAGTACATTTTATTGTGTTATAGTAGATATTATATATGTAGAAGTGGAGGATTTCAGCAGATAGCATTGTGTTATGGATGCCAATATGTTTTTTTTAATTAATATATTAGTACTATCTTATTAGTACTTCAGAATATTTACTGTTTGCTGCTTGCTTGAAATTCCTTTTTTGCTATAACAAAGGAATATGTATTTTTTTAGGTTGTACAGTGGTTGCTGGAAGAAAAATTGTGTGCGCTACAGTGTGGTGTATTTGATAAGACATTGGCAGAATTGAAAACACGAGTGGAAAAGATTGAGTGTAACAAGAGGCATAAAACAGTTTTAACTGAACTACAGGTTTGTACACTGACTTGAATTGCATATCCGTGTGTCATCATTTTTATAACTTACTTTCTGGGATATGTTTTTGAAGTTGACAATAAAGTATATTTAACTTTTAAGTATTAGAAATAAAAGGAGCCTCTATTAGTTTGCTAGGGCTACCATTAACAAAAAGTACCATAAACTGGATGCCTTAAACAACAGAAATGTATTGTCTCATAGTTTTGGAGGCTGGAAGTCCAAGATTAAGCTGTCGTCAGGACTGGTTCTGAGGGCCGTGAGGAAGAATCTGTTCCTTATGTCTACTCTAGCTATAGATGGTTTACTGACAGTCTTTGGCATTCCTTGTCTTGTAGAAGTATCACCCTGATTTCTGACTTCATCTTCACATGGTGCTCTCTCTGTATGTTTGTCTGTTTCCAAATTTTCCCTTTTTACAAGGATACTAGTCATATTGGATTAGGACCCACCCTATTCCAGTATGACCTCATCTTAACTACAGTTGACTCTTGAACAATGTGAAGGTTAGAGGTGCTGTCCCCACCCGCTGCAGTTGAAAATCTGTACACTGGTATCTGCTTCAAAAAATGAAGGAGTTGGGCTTCCCTGGTGGCGCAGTGGTTGAGGGTCCGCCTGCCGATGCAGGGGACACGGGTTCGTGTCCCGGTCCAGGAAGATCCCACATGCTGCGCAGCGGCTGGGTCCGTGAGCCATGGCTGCTGAGCCTGCACGTCCGGAGCCTGTGCTCCGCAACAGGAGAGGCCACAACAGTGAGAGGCCCGCATACCGCAAAAAAAAAAAAAAAATGAAGGAGTTGATAAATGACTCACCCCAGGCAGTAGCTGAAACACTTCAGATAGAATCGGAACTCAAGCCCTAATTCTTTTGATTTCACATCTGTTGATCTCTAATTGAACACAAACTTTTCCCCACACTTAATTTAAAGATCTGTAAAGTGAAAATATAGGTACTATATTGATTGAAAAAAAATCCATGTATAATTGGACCCACACAGTTCAAATCTATGTTGTTCAAGAGTCAGCTGTAATTACCTCTGTGATGACCCTCTTTCCAAATAAGGTCATGTTCTGAGATACTTGGGGTTCAGAGTTTCATATACTTTTGAGATACATAGTTCAACCCATAGCAGAGCTTCAGAAATAATCTGACTTAGTGCATCTTAAACATTTCTTCATTCAGTGAAGAAAGGCTGGCATCATCTCAAATGTCATGAGTACTAAATAATATTTGCTGTGATTCTTTTTATTTCTATCTACTTCTCCCATGAATCGTATTTTTTAAAGATATTAGCTTGTTAATCTATATTTATTAATAATTACTACTTTTAATTTTTTATTAAATACATCTGTATGTTAACGTGTACTGCTAGAGCTTCTAATCAGTTGAAATGAGCACACGGTACCATGGTGCAGTAATTCATTTTATTCCAAGACTAAGAAACTGGAAAATTTTATCAGTACATTCATTCTATATAAGCATAGTCTCAGACGCTGACTTGCAAACCACTTATAGAGCCTTTTTTACAAATGAGGGAGAAGTGGTCTGTGAAAATAAAGTCACTTCTTCACAGTTAAAAGCAAATTGCAACCAAATGTGACTAGAATTTAGGTATTATATTTGGCAGCCTACAAGTTACTTTTCTAGTTTCATATTGTTAGTTTTGTTTACAGTGAGACTTTACTACAAATACTTTATTATTAATAATTTTGTAATGTATCATTTAGGACACCACTAGTCCTGTTTCTTACCTTTAGCAGGTCCTTATATAGTGTTGGATTGTCTCATCATTAAACTTTATTTTACTAGTACTGTTAAGAATTTTGAATGAGAAATTGAAAATGTCTGAAGATTTAAGAAAGTAATTTCATTCGTTGTTTGTTATCACTCCCGTGGCTGCATCTATGGTTTTGTGTTTCTAGAACCTGAGATTTTGACTCTTATAGTCTTATAGTCTTGCTTAAGATGCAAGTCTGCATCTAACATTTAATAAACCTTTGCACTTGGATATTTCTTTGTAGCCTCAGAATCTTTCCAACATCAAACCAATCATCTTCTCCACAAATAAGTCCCCCTTCACATTGTTCCTCTTACTCACAATTCTTGAATTCTTAGAAAAATCTTCAAGGAATATCTTCCCATTGTTCCTGTTATTCACAATTTTTTAGTTCTTGGAAACTGATTCCTCTGTATCACTTCACATATACACAGTGGGTTGCCAAATTACAACTATTTTTGTTTCTTATAAAAGTCTATCTTTTGCTTCTATCTGCAAGGCCATCATTACCCAATTTCTTGATTATAGTAACAACCTTTTACATGACCACTTTGGTACTGCTTTTTTAAGTCTTTGCTGGTCCTTCTCAAGGATTGTACTCATCTTTCTAAAATACTTCTTGTTCATTCTCTTCTGTATAGTCCAGTTTGCTCAACTGTGTACCAGTTTAAACCTGTATTCATTCTTCAGTTTGTAATTTGGATCTCCTAGATTTTGATCTACTTTTCCTAATACCCACCAGTTGCTTCACTGTCCTACAGAGTATTAATGTCCATAGTATTTTTATTTCAGGCCTCTGACTTCATATTGCTTCTCCCGTTCATTTATGATCTGCCCTTACCATGCCATTTATTTAAATTTTACTCAGCCCAATTTAGTTCCCATCTCTTTCTTTGTTTATGGAAGTAAAATTCAGGTAACAATCATTTTAAAGTTTACACTTCAGTGGCATTTAGTACATACACACTGTTGTATGTTCATCATCTCTATCTGGTTCCAAAACATTTTCATCAATCCAGGAGAAGACCTTGTACCCACTGAACAGTCACTTCTCATTTCCCCCTCCCCCTAACCCTCGGGAAGCATGAATCTGCTCTCTGTCTCTACTGAGTTACCTGTGCTGCATATTTCATATGAACAGAATTATACAATATGTGTCTTTTGGTGTCTGGCCTGTTTTTCTTAGCATAATGTTTTTAAGGTTCATATATGTTGAAGCATGTATCAATACTACATTCCTTTTCATAGCTAAGTAATATTTATATTTCTGTACTATTGAAAATAAGTAGGAATTAATTCAAGATGTCAACGTGTGTGTACACACATGCACACACATTTTGTTTATGTATTCTTTGGCTGATGAACATTTGATGGGCATTTGGGTTGTTTCCAGCTTTTGGATATTGTAAATAATGCTGCTGTGAACATTCATATACAAGTATTTGTTTGAATACCTGTTTTCAAATCTTTTGGGCATATACCTAGGAATGGAATTGTGGGTCATATGGTAATTCTTTGTTTAATTTATTGAAGAACATTCAACTTTTTCCCAGATCAGCTACTCCATTTTATATTTTACTCCCCACCAGCAATGTGAGGGTTCCATTTCTACACATCCTTGCCAACACTTGTTACTGTGTATTTTAAAAATTATTATTATAACATCCTAATGGTGTGAAGTGATATTTTATTGTGGTTTTGGTTTGCATTTTCCTAATGGCTAATGATGTTGAACATCTTTTCCTGTGTTTGTTGAACATGTGCATATCTTCTTTAGAGAAATATTTATTCAAGTTCTTTTTGTTTTGTTTGTTTTGCCCTTCTGTTGTTGAGCTGTAAGAGTTCTTTACATATTTTGGATACTGAACACTTAGAAATACACGATTTATAACTATTGATATTCTTACCCACTGTGTAAGTTTTCTTTTCACTTTCCTTTTTTGATAATGTCCTTTAATGCACAGAAGTTTCAAATTTTGATGAAATCTTGTAGACAGCATAGAGTTGGGTCATGATTTATTACCCACTTTGCCAGTCTCTGCCTTTTAATTGGAGAGTTTTTGTCTGTTTACATTTAAATTAGTTACTGATAAGGAAAGACTTACTCCTGCCATTTTATTTGTCTTCCACCTTTTTTCCCCTTAATTCCTACATTACTGCCGCCTTCTGTGATTGATTTTTTTCTAGTGAACCATTTTGATTCCTTTTGTCTTTCTCTTTCTGTAAATTTTTTAGCTTTTTCCTTAGTGATTACTCTGGGGATTACACTTAACATCTTGAATTAATACCTACTTATCTTCAATAGTATACAAAACTGTTCCTTTACAGCCCTGTCCTGCTCAAATCTGTTGAACCTCTCTGGTGAATTTCTTAATTTCAGTTATTATACTTTCAGCTCCAGAATTTATATTTGTTTTCTTTATATAATGTCTGTCTCTTTATTGATATTCTCTATTTGGTGAGACATTATTTTCCTTTTTTTTTTTTTAAAGTTCTTTTTCTGTTGTGTCCTTTAGCTCTTTGAATAGATTTAAAACCATCTGTTTAAAGTCTTTGTCTAGTAAGTCCTATGCCTGAGCTATATTTCTGTTAATTCTTTTTTTTTCTGTGAATAAACCATACTTATTTCTTTGTATACCTCCTAATTTTTTTTGTTGTTACTGTTGAGAACTGGATATTTTAAATATTGTAATGTGGCAGTTCAGAAAATCAGGTTTTCCTGTCCTGTCCAGGGTTTGTTGTTGCTGCTTGTTGTGGTTTGTTGTTTGCTTGCTTAGTGAGTTTTCTCAACTATTTTTGGAAAGTATGTATTCATAATTGTGTGTGACCACTAAAGTCTGTGTTTTATTAGCTTAGTGGTCAGCTTGTGTTTTGACAGTTACCTTAAATGCCTGGAGCTTAAAGAAGGAAAAAAATTACTCTCCCAGGTCTTAGCAGATTGCCTGTTTTGGAGCACTCCTTCCACACTTAATCTAGGCCATTTACAACCTGCTTTATCAGACTTGCCTTATCCTTCTCTTCCTGCTTGCACAGACTCTGAAAGCCAGTCAGAGGTGAAAGCTTAGGGTCTTTTCAGCCCATTTCTGAGCATGCTTTCTGCCCTGGGCATTCAGATATTCTTCTCAATTTCCTGACATGGGTGAGAGCTTTTAAAGCCCCCTTTTGCTGTGTGTCTTTTTTCTGCCCTTTTCTATCCCAGGCTTTTCTTTATATTCTTTGT